ATAGATCCAGTCTTTGTTACTCCATCATGACCAAAAGCAAAAGTCTCAAGAGGTGATATATGAACAGGGACTGAATGAAGTGAGCAAATAAGTGATTTGGAGAGCTAAGCTAAAGCACTTCAGGCTGAATGAACAACAAGAACAAAGGCCACTTTTGAAGAACAGCAAGGAGCAAGAGTGAGAGTGAGGAGTAGGAGATGAGGTCAGGTAAAAAGACAGTGGACAAATCATGCAGCATCTTGTAGGCCATGGTAAGGAGACAGGATTTTAAATGCAACGAGAACATTATTGGTGAGTTTGCACAAGGGAAGTAATTTGATCTGACATGTTTTAAAAGAATCACTTTGGTTACAGTGAGAAAAGGAGGCTATAGATATAAGAGTGGAAATAGGGGCATCAACTAGGAGGCTACTGCTGTGGTATAAGTGCAAGGTGATGGCTGCCTAGACTGTGATAGTGGCAGTGGAGCTGGTTAGAAGTGGTTACATTTTAAAGCCCATTTGCAAGAGTTGCTTATGGAATGCATGTAGAAAGGAGGAAAAATAATAACTAAGGATGACTCCAATTTTTGTTCTGAGCAAACTAATTGAATGCTATTCATGTACTGAAGCAGGAAAGACAATGGAGAGTTGTTTCAAGAGGGAAATCAAGAGTTTCATTTTGGACATGTCAAGTGGGAGATGCCCACTAGAAATCCAAGAAAGAAGATTAAGTGTGCAGTTGGTTATACCAGTTTGGAACTCAAGGAGAGGTCAAGACTGGAAATACAAATTTAGGAGTCAAGGGCACATAGCTGATCCTTAAAATCCCTGGGGCTGGATGATATCAGAGAGTGATTGTAGATAAGAGGGGAGCTCTCCGAGTATTGAGTCCTGGGAATCTCCAACACTGACAGGTCCAGAGGAAGGGGCTGAGAGGCAGGAGGGAAACCAGGAGAGCATGGTGTCCCTCACCTTTTCCTGCTTGGTGAATTCTTCATGCTGTAAGCTCCTGCTTAAGCATCTCCTACTCTGAGCAGCCTTCCCTGATTGAGTTAGGTAGTTAGTGACTCCCTTTTCTGTGCTCTCCCAGCATTCTGCACGTACCCTCTTGCAGCATTTATTACAAGGAATTGTAATTCCCACATATTGGTCTTCCCCACTCTGCTGTGTACCACTTAAGGGCACATCCATACCCACATACCCCACAACTAGCTCGTCTCAGTGAATACCGAGGGCGTATGTGAGAGTCCAAAGGGAAAAAAAAGCCCAATATCAGAAGTGGTCAAGGAAGGCTTAACAGAGAAGGTGGAATTTGAGCAGTATCTTGTTGGAAAACATTGGATTTCTTCCAACAAAATTACAAGAATAGGAGAGAGCATGGCAGGCCAAGACAGAAGAGAACAAACACAAATTATGTCCAAGAGACAGGAATTGGCTCTATTTGGTGAGCCTGCAAGGTTCAGGAAGCGTATAGGGAAGTGAGGTTGGAGCCAGGCTGGGAGGCAACCAACACTAGGCTAAGGACTTGGTTCTTAAGCTAGGTTCCTAGGAACACTGGTGTTCCATTATGTTTAAAATATGACCATTTCATGGTTTCATATAACCTCAAGGCGCTTCCTCAGAGACAATTTTGAGAACTGTTGTTATAAATAAGTGGTATAATAATTAAAACTGTCATTTATTATGTGTTTACTGTGCCAAATGTTCCATGTGGCTTTCTCTCATTCAATCTTACAACGGTTCTGTGAGGTAGACACAAATAGTATCTCTACTTGCAGATAAGGAAATTGGGGTAAAGAGAGGTTAACTTGCCAAGCTTGCAGCTAGAAGTGCTGGAAGGAGGAGATGGGATTAGCTCAAACCCAGGGCATTTGAGAACGAAACCCAAGGCCTTGCAAGACCCCTAGACTGTTTCTTCCCCTCCTTCCCATGGGCTGTCTGGGGCTGAAGTGGGAGGAAGAAGTCACAAGAACAATGAAGAAAGAGGAGAAGCACTTGAGGATCTAGGGAAGGTGTCTCCTCCAGACATGGGGGGGGGGGGGGGGGGAGGAGAAGGTCACGGCCAAGGAGAGAATTAGACACGGAGCTATAGGCAGATAGAGACCGAGCAATGGAATTGGGATAGGATGTTCTTGAACGCTGAGCTGGAAACTTTCCCTCTGCCTGTGCATTTCTGCCACATGAATCATCTATACCCAGACAGACCTCACTGTTTAAGCCAAGGTCACACTTCTGCCCTCAAGAAGACTGACATGAAGATATGTTGCTGGGGGCGGCCAGGGAAATAACAGGGGGAAAGGCCAGAATGACAGGGCGGCCACGTTCCTAGGCAACACATTACAGGAAACCTGCCCACAGCCTGAGCTATGCCAGCAGCTGCTATGGACCATCACGATTTCCCAAGTAGTTATTGTGGCTATGATTGGAAAGGGGTCACAGTCACATGTTTAAGATAAATGTAATTTTATTGGCTGGGGTTTATGTCCTGGAATGCTGCAGTCTGGGCCAGGCCCAAGCTACAAGTAAAAGAGGCTTCATAGTAAAGAAATAATGCATCATACTGCACATGCACAGAACATTATTACAGTTTGCAGAGCCCTGCATAATCTTCATCTCAGGTGAGTTGGGCAACAAGCCTGTAAGGTAGTTGAGGAAACCAAGGCACAGAGAAATTAAGTGAATTATGCAACATCACACAGCAAGTCAATGGCAAAACCATATGTTGTCCCCAAATCTTTGGGTTCCAAGTTAATTCAGGTGTATGAAACTCAAACTAATAAGTGTTTTAACAAGTGATACGAATAAAAAAAAGCAAGAGAGAACTCCAAGGAGAAAGGATAATATTTTATCAATTGCTGTGAGTCTGAAATGTGTGGTGACCACATTTCAAATATCTAACACTTTCTAGTTGTCAAAGCCTTTTCACCTACTTTACTTCACAACGCTTGTAGGGAGGCAGGTAGGGAAGTAAGTGGTCATTCACAAAGAAACAGAGGCCCAAGAGCTCCCCCTGGAGTTTACTTCTGGTACTGTGCTCCTCCCCTGACCCCAGGCCTGGAAGCATTTAGTGTGGTCAAGCAATAGAAAATGGTCACAGGACTGTGGTTCCATTTGCTAGATGTGATGTGTCCAAACCAGTGGCTCTCTCCCTGTCTGCCCTCTAGTTCCCCACAGCTTGGGCCCCTGGTTCCACCCCAATGGCCGCCCTGGCCGCCTGTCCACAGCAAGACAACCGCCCTGACCCTCCACCCTGCACTCTCACTGTGCCAGGGCTCTGTGGCTTGGCCATGCAGGCGGCCCACATGATACTCCTGGAATAGATGTCATGGCCAAACAGATGTGACCACACAGTCCCCCGGGATGACCCCTGGATGCCTCCACGTTGCAACTGTCCCCTTTGCCCTAACGTATTGATGGCTCCGGCCAGGCCCTGTTTTTTCTGGTGCTACCTCTAGGTTCTGCCCACTGACCCTTACTAATGCCATAAGCTATGTACCTGATGGCTGAGCTGGACATCCTGCCTGGGAACCAAAGCCTGGGAGTCCAAGAGCCTACAGACAGGTCTCTGGATGACAATTAGCCCCTCCTGAAACTGATCATTGCCTGAATTCCCTCCCTCCCCAAAGGGTTCCCCCAGCCTGCCTGAAAATCCTGCTGACTGGTGCCCAGTGCCTGCAGTAGCTTCTGTGGAGTGGAGCCTCCCTGCCCCCTCCGGGACCAGCCTCCTCTCCAGCTGTTACTTCCCTGTCACAGTTTTAGACAGAGGACTAGAAACAACCCTAGTGTTCATTGACAGGAGAACTGATGAACAAACTGCTCACTCACAATGGGCTGTGCAGCAGTGGGAATGAAACGGCACCAGCGATTCCCATGAACACGCATGGAAAGAATGTTACTGTGTCTACACACCTTACAACAGTTCTTATAAAGCTCAAAAGCAAGCAAAGCAAACAATACGTTGTTTAGGGATACATTCAGGGTATTGTAAATATTTTTAAAGCAAGGAAGCGATAAACATAAAATTCAGGATAATGGTTGCTTCGGGGGTCAGAATGGGATGGGGAGCAGCATGGTAATTGGAACTCTGAGGTTGGGAGGTGGGTTGGGGATGATTATTTTGTTGCTCTGCCTCATAGCTTTCATATATGTCCGTGTATTATTTTTTTATATACAACTGCTGCAAGATACTTTAAAAGATTAGATGGAGAGGGTCCCAGACTCCATCTTATTACCTCCTTCCCATTCTGGTTTAGGAAACTGTGTCTTCTGGGTGCCATGGCTCCACTCTACCGCCCCAACCCCTCGCCGTCCTCACCTTCACAGCCAAATGACCTGAAAGAATGCTCTACCCTCATCCTCATTTCCTTCCCTACCACACTCTGGCTCAGTCCCCTAAATTCTGATCCCTGTCTCATCACACCACTCTCTCACTAGCAGCTCAGACAGTGCCCGGCCCCCTACTCAGCTGGCGGTAAAAATTGCAGAAAGAGCCCTGACTGGTTTGGCTCGGTGGATGGAGTGTTGGCCTGCGGACTGGAAGGTCCCAGGTTCGATTCCGGTCAAGGGCATGTACCTTGGTTGCGGGCACATCCCCAGTGGGGGGTGTGCAGGAGGCGGCTGATCGATGTTTCTCTCTCATCGATGTTTCTGGCTCTCTGTCTCTCTCCCTTCCTCTCTGTAGAAAATCAATAAAATACATATTTAAAAAAAAAATTGCAGAAAGAAAGAATGCATAAATGAATGGCAGGCACTGTGGTTTGCATATGTTGTCTCATTTAATTCTTATAAAATCCTTAATCCTTTAAGGGAGGTACTAGTTGTCTCATTTTATAGATGAGAAAAGGGACGTAACTTACCCCAAATCACACAGCTAGCAAATAGAAAACAGAAGTTGGACCCCGGTTTAACACTAAAGACCACCCCAGCAACCACCCCTCCCCACCTCAGGCCACATACCCCCGCCTCATCCCCCACGAGGCCAAGGCTGGGAACTCCCAGCTGGGAACTAGGGTTGGTTACCTGAAAGCATGTGGGCCCCGGCCTCCCTGCAGGGATGTCCGACTGGTAGAAAACTTTGAGCTCAGGAGTCAGGGCAATGACGGTCTTAATCACCAAGGAGATGATATCAGACCAGACCTTCTTGATGTCAACGCCTTTGGAAGACAATCTACAAAGAATGCTAGAAAAAGTCCTTTTGCTGCCTGTGCTAGTGCTGTCCGAGTGGACAAAGTTACCGCTATGGATGTTCAGGGAGTAGTTGGTTAAGTGCATAAAGATGTGGTGCAGGTTTTTGGGAGTGGGCTCCTGGTATGGCTCTGTACAAAATCTGGAGAGTCCATCTTTGGCTATGTAAATCTCTAAGGGGTCTAAGGACTTCAGTAAGACATACAGGCGAATGTCAAACTTGAGCTTGTCGATAAGGAGAGGTTTGCAGATGTATTCCTGGACCACCGCCGGCCTGCGCTGCAGGGTCCCTGCCAGGCGGATGTCACTGGGGTCTTTAATGAGGTAGATTCCGTCACCCTGACAACCACCATCAGGTTTCACAATAAAAGTGGGCTTCCAGGAGGGGTCACCGTCTTTCACCATTTGAACCTGGGGAGAGAAAAGAAAGGTTAGCGTGATGTTCTTCTCCTCTCTGGACCCCCAAGACAGAGCAGGATATTGGCAAATGTTTAGTAAATGAGTGACAAAGTGAGTCCTGCCTATGTGACACTCACTGAGCACCTGCCAGGGAGATAACACTGTGCTAGGTGCCAACACAGTAACCCAAGGCTGCCCACTAATCTTGTCCTCCAGGAGGGAGATCGAGAGCACAGAGGATTTGCTCTCACAAGACCTGGGTTCGAATCCCAGATCTTTGCCGGTTATTAGCTATAACCCTGAGCAAGTCATGTAATTGATGATGATGATTGTTTAAGAGTGCCTACTATGTGCCAGGCACTATATTAGGCACTTTACATACGTTATCTAAGAAAGTATGATGGCTCTCCTCTTATGATACAGAAAATAGGAGATGGTACATCAGTTGTTAAGAGTCTGGGCGTCGCATCAGGCTGCCTGGTCTAGAATCCTGGCCCTGCTACTTACTGTGTGACCTTGGGCAAGTTACTTAAGTTATCTGTGCCTTCCTCATTTGTAAAAGAGGAGAAAGAGTGTTCGGAGGATGAATGAGATAATAAATGCAAAGGGTTAAGCCCACAGGCTGTGACACATCCAAGGCAGCCATCAAGCCTAGCTGAGGCTGTTTTTCAAAGATGGAGTAACTTGCCGGCTAACAGAGGGGCAGAACTGGGATTGAAATCCAGATCAAAGACTCTAATATGCTCGTACCTCCCTCTGTACTGCCATGTCTCGAGTTCCTCGTCTTAAAAATGGGAATATAAAACATGGACCACTGTAAAGAAGAAATAAACTAAAATGTGCAAAGGGCTAAGCACAATACTAAACACAGAGCCAGTGTACAGAAATGCTAGTTTCATCATTTATATCTCTTATGAGGCTCACCTAGTAGACGTAGCCAATCCTTCAGTCTATTGAGACTTTTATGAAACTAGATTCTGCCATCCATAATATTTGCTGTCCTAACAGCTCCAGGTCAGCAAGACATTCACATAATTATCCAGGCCACTTGACCAGTCCAGTCAGTCTGGATCCAGGTCTGCATAATTCATATGCAGCCAATTCCCCCGGACCCTTGTCATATCCTTCATGCAGCTATGGGGAATGTATGGGCTGAACGCCACGAGAGGAGGTTTTCACAGGGGGCGGGGTGAAGGGGCTGGAGGAAATTGAAGGGTGGGCTTTAAAGCCACTCTCTCTGCCACATCTGGTGAGAAAGAGCCCAAGAACAGGCGCTCCTTCCATTCTGAAGTGTGTAACTCAGAGTGCAGCGGCATGCCCCAGTGCTGGGCGCGCCTTGGCCTCCACCTTTGCTGTGTAAGCCCAACCCAGGACACGTGCACTCTGGGTTTTACTTCTCTCTCTGACCAGCCTATATTTCTAAGTGAAGCTTCTGCCAATTCCTTGGGCACTATCAGTTACTCCAGGCTTGTAAGAGATCGCTAACAATGGAGAAACACTTAAAGCCTTAATAATGGCCCACATCAATTTTTTCCCCTTGTCAGCAGGATTCGAGAATGGAACCTCACCAGAGATCAATGCAAGCCTCCCTGGGCCCTCCACCAAGCCTTTCTTGCAACTGTGACCTTGACGTTGATGTGTAGTTATTTAATATTCATCCAAAGCATTCATACGTTTGGCCCTTTACAGTAAATAGAAGTGTGCTGGAGAAATGGCAGTTATGGATCAGGAAGTGAAAAATGTCAGGCTTGCAATGATGGGTAATTCCTCCCTCTGGAAAGCTTCTGCAATGCTGAAGATGCTAATAGTTTAATATATTATCAGGAGCAATATTTTCTCTTTTGAATCCAGTATATGCCTTATATAAATTAAACTACATGGTCAATAGTCTCTGCCATTCATTGCATTACTGGATATTTCTTTTGCTCTTTGCCAGAGTAGTACCATACAAATCAGGATTATTAATACTAACAGAATCACTGAATTTTTAGAACTGGAATGATCCTTGGAGATCAGCACAGCCCGGTCCTCTATAATTTAAAATGCCGAAGCTGAGGCTCTGAGAGGTGACATGACTTGCTTGGATCTCACAACTGGCTAGGCAGTGATGGCGAACCTATGACATGAGTGTCAGAGGTGACACGCGAACTCATTTTTTTGGTTGATTTTTCTTTGCTAAATGGCATTTAAATATATAAAATAAATATCAAAAATATAATTTTGTTTTACTATGGTTGCAAATATAAAAAAATTTCTATATGTGACATGGCACCAGAGTTAAGTCAGGGTTTTTCAAAATGCTGGCACACTGAGCTCAAAAGGTTCGCCATCACTGGGCAAGGGGGATGGTTAGGTTGAAAGCTGAGGTCTTCTCACCCCACTGCACATTCCCTGTGCCATTTTTATCTCTGATAAGATAAAATCAAAGGTTCTTTTTCCCCCGAATACTATAGGAAAGATTCTCTTAATGTAGCAGACACGATTGTTCTCTGTCCTCACATTAAAGAGGGTAGCCCTGAGCATTGCCTCCTTGGAACTGGAAGCACAGATCCCGAGCTTGCCAGGACCTCTGTCTGGGTTCCTGGCACAGTCAATGGGAAAGCCAGGTAGGTGTGCTGAATGTGGTTCCCCCAGCCCTCAGACCTTTCAGCAACTGCTATTTTAAAAAAGGAAAGAGATTTTCCAAAATTTCAAATCCATTCTCCTCTGAGGTTTTACTCAAGAGTGACCCTTTCCCCCCAGCTATTTAAAGTTATTAATGTTAAGAACTAATGCATTGGTTCTTAGCAAGAAGTCATGGACCAGAATCTAAATATAATCTATATAACTAGGCCCCAACCCCCCAAATTCTGATGTAATAGATATGGGAAAAGACCTGGGCAGGCTTATTTTGGAAAAAGCATGGTGGGTGATTCTGATGTTCACTCAGTTTGAGAGTCACTGGACTAATGTGACTTAACTAAAAAGATAATCTGGTATTAACATACTAAATGAAGTTTTCTGCATCGATGTCAGCCTGAACATGAGGAAGACCTGCACTTAGGCTAAAGCTGATGGTATCTCCATTTTTACCCAAACCTGCTGTTGGCTGTGAAATCCATTATCTTGTAACTGTATGTACTGATGGCTGAAAGAGATACCACGAGGATGTGGTGGCCTGATTGCTTGGCAGTCATCGGGCCTGTTAAAAAATTTATGTGTCTTTTACCGCCCCCTAGTGGATATTTAAGAAATATAACTGGGACAACCCCCCCATTCCCCCCATTCAAAATTCCGACTCTTCTTAGCATTAAGGCACTATTAAGATGTTAAAATTGTCTCAAAGCACCACCACTAAAAAGCTGTGGTACCGTTACGGTAAGATTATACTTTGGGATGGACTCATCTCTAAAATGCCAGGGATAGCCAAGGTCAATTCATTTTCATACTCTGTCTTAACTATTTTCAGGGGTCTTCCCTACTACACAGATTGACCTACCTATTTAAATTCTCTCAGCCTATATAAACTTTTAAAATTTGGGTAACATGAGTATGAAATTCTGGAAATACATGCCATAAAAAATCAGTAATTTGTATATTCCTCATTGAGCTTTTTTTGTATTTTCTAAACTTTCCATTAGAAAAAAAAATAGCAATATCAGGCAGCAGTGAGTGCCTCTAAATATAAAGATTTTCATAAGGAATAGCTTTTGGTGAACTGATAGTTGTACCTCCCTGTTCATAGCAGTATTGCTCACAATGGCCAAAGGTGGAAACAACCCAAATGTCCATCAGCAGAAGAAGGATAAAAAAAAAGTGGTGTGTGCACACAATGGAATATTATTCAGTCATAAAAAGGAAGGAAATTCTGACACCTGCTACAACATGGATGAACCTTGAGGACACTATGTTAAGTGAAGTAGTAAGCCAGACATAAGAGGACAAATACTGCATGCTTCCACTTATGAGGTACCCAGTGTAGTCAAATTCATAAAGACAGAAAGTAGAATGATGGTCACCAGTGACTAGGGGAGGGAGTTAGTGTTTGATGGGTAGAGTTTCAGTTCAGGAAGATGAAAAAAGTTCTGGAGATGGGTGTGGTGATGGTTGGACAACAATGTGAATGTACTTAATGTCACTGAACTGGACATTTAAAAATGATTAAGATGGTAGTTTTATGTTATGCATATTTTCCCACAATTTTTATAAAGTTGAAAGATGTTTAAAAATAAAAAAGAAATAGCTTTTGGTGTAATAGAAAGACTACTGAAGCGAAAGACAGAAAATCTAGCTCCTACGCCCACTTTAGTCAGGTGTCCTTGAGAGAGTGACCTTTGAAAGAGTCACCTGACCTCCTGGCCTCTGTTGTACTCACCTATAAAATAAAGAGACCACACTAAGGTCCCTGGCTTCTGCCAGCACACAAGTTCTAACAATGATTTATCTTGACATCACCACAGTTGAAAGCTGTGTTATAAACACGTACGTGACATTAGTCAGTGGAGAGTTCATACTGAGTTGCTGTGAACAGCACCTCGGGATAATCTACCAGCGCGGATCTGGATGGGAGATTTACGATGCACTTGAGGAAGTTGGCTGGGCATCTGGGGGAAGCAAGCTAAAATATTTTGAGAGAAATTCAGCAACAGGAATACGAAGCCATAAAGCACTATTAGTAGTGAGGGGCAGGTAGGAGGATGATTTCTTAAGAAACTGTATCTGCAATACCCGGGAAGTCAAAGCCAGTTAGAGTAGTCCTCTGTCACTCAGATGGATGTATATCCCATCTTAGTAACCCAGGCCCTTCATGGCACAGGCACAGGCAGAGCTTAAGTAAAAACAAGCCTCTGGGGAGACAAACATGTCACAAAGCACATGCTGGACATGGTGCAGGGACCAGCCCTTTCCCCTTCCAGCTTCAGCAGACTGAGCCTCACACTCAGGGCAAATCCCTGTTCCCAGCATCAGGCAATTCCTGAGTCAGCTGAAAATTAGGCTACCCAGGGCCAGACTGTGAGGCAGCAGTTGAGGCG